ATAATGGTCCAAGACTCACTCTTCGAAGATTTTTTCATGCTTTAATCATCTCATTCATCCTTTGAAATGCTTTAGGCTCACTGTAAGAGAAATCTAACTGATGAAGCCCATAGGTCATAAGAATGAATTGTTCTCCCCCAAATTACCTTCTCACTAGGAGTGGTGCATAATTTGTCACTCCCCATAAATCGAGAAGTAGGACCACTATACTATCCCCACATTGATACAACATAGGCTCACGATTCATCCATGAGGTCAACCATCACCTTGGCGCTTTTCAACTTTTGTAGGAAAGTTATCCATTCTTGTTTAGATTTTCGTTTGGACCACCCATTTTCATAAAATTCCTTGATCGAAACATGATTACGGATATAAAGCTTCGAGAAAGCACCATTTCCCTGTTCAAAATGGCTTTTCATTCATAAGTATAATAACTGTATGCAACCTATGAAGTGCCCTCCATTTCGATGACAATAACTCAAAGATTTGATAGTCCCTGTTAATATTACCATTGAAGGATTACAGCCATTGATCATACTTTCGAAGAAGTCAACCACTGCTATCTCAATATATCCTAAAACCTTTGAAAAAATCACCAGTCCGTATATGACCAAGGTAAATATATCTAACCCCCATTCTTCATTGGCATGTTGAATCAAAAACTCATGAAAGAACTTTCAAGGTAGGCAAACCTGTTCTTATTTTTTCTTTGTATGAGAATCCACAATTTTCTTATCTATCCCCATGAGTCGAGCTAGACCTTTACGAAATCTTGACTTGTATTTTTTTACATATATCTTGTTAGGAGTCTTGAGGTGTAAACCTAATAAAATTAAATATTCTTCGATGGTAGGAGTCATATCAGCTTTATTAAAGATGAAACACTTGTATGTAGGATCCCAAAATTGTGCTGCAGCACTGATCAGTTTATCATCAATAACTACTACTAGAAGGTGTGCTATATGCCCATGTCTCTGACAAAACTGCTCTTATCTTAACAGACTCATCTTCTTTCAGATATCAACCAAATCTTCTAAATTATTCTGTTTGAGAAGGATAGATGTTTTTGGAGACAGAGTAAAATCATACCCGATTGGTAAGTAATCTTTCATCTTCAATTGAATCTTTTCTGATTGGGCCCTTACTTCATTGGGTGTCCCACAAGGTGCTAATACGGATGAAGAACAAACTAGTCATTCAGTGAAGTCCATGAAAAAATTTGTTGAAGATCGTTTTTCAAGCAAATGTTCTTTATGCAACTTTATGATATGCGTATGAACTAATGCAAAAGAATAAGAAAAAGGTTAGTATACCCAGAAAAAGAATAAATAAATAACTAAGTAAATTTAAACATCACACAGAGTAAAAGGAATGAATCATATGCTTTTGGTCAATTCTAGAAGGAAAGAGTGATGGTTCTATCTATAGGTTAGGCACACTTAAGGTTCACTATATGTGATTTTAAGGTCAAAGTCTAAAGGTTTCCAAATGGCTCCTTACATCCTTGTCTATCACAGACTAGTAAGGCACCCTAATTCTCACCCATTACAGGCTACAAGTGAAAAATGTTCAATTTGAGTGGGAGTATTTTGCTAGCCACTGTGGAGGCGTTAGACCTCACGAAAGCAATAGGTACTTTACTCCCTCCTAAAGGGACGGAGCTCGGGTATGGAGCTCATGTTATGCACATGCATATGAATGACATAATTAACAAAGTAAATAAACATGAATGAATAATAACACATATATACAAAAAGGTTCAATTTTATTAGGCTTTTGGATAACACAAATTATTTGCTGGCCTGACTCTCAGTATCCTCAACGGAGTCGCCAAGTTGTCATAACGTCTAGATCCGAGGATCTATCGCTAGACATTGACTTAAGGGAGTCGCCACCAATTTTTTTTATCTAGGTGTGATTGGCTACCTAAAGAATTTATCCTTTCAAGGAACACCTAAGTTTAAGGGTCCCTAAAAGAATACGTTCAGGTCGACTAATCAGAACAGGGTTCGGGAGTTCAGTTACGTGTGAGGAAAGTTATAGCACCCACACAACACCTATCAAAAGATGGTACCAGCTTAAATTTTGTTTATCCAATCAGCTTTAAAATTTTACCAAGTAGATTAATTATTAGAAATTATTCTCCAATTTGAATCTAATACTTTTAGCAAAATTTTGAGGAAAATCTCTCACCTCATTGAAGTATGCAAGAAAACTACTGTTTCACTTGCAGAGCTCCGTCGTCGATTATTTAACATTAAAAAAAAAGAATGATTATTTTTGTGCAGAAAAAATTGATACTTTCAACTTTTCCCCAAAATATTTTTTAAAAATTTTAATCTCGAGAAAAATTAATACTTTTAACTTTTCCTTAAAAACCGTTTTAGAAATTTATTTTTAAGGAAAATTGATACTTTCAACTTTTCCCCAAAAATATATTTAGGAAAAGTTTATTTTTTAAGAAAAATTGATACTTTCAACTTTTTCTCAAAAATTTTTTTTGAAAATTTATTTTTAAGAAAAATTGATACTTTCAGCTTTTTCCCAAAAATATTTTTTTTGGATTTTATTTAAAGAAAATAAAATAATAAAACAAAATAAAAGAGAAAATAAAAAAATAAAGAAAAGTAAAACAAAAATAAAAATAAAATAAAGATAAAAGAATATTTAATAAACCTAATCTAAAAATAATAAAAATAAATAAATAAAAACTTGGAGCGGCTCGGCTCGGCTCAGCTTAAGGGAGAAAAACGGCTCGGAGAACGCGGCTCGAAATGTCGGCTCGGCTAGGCTAACGGCTCGGGGAGGTAGATCACGCGCAGGTCAAAAAACGGGTCGACGCTCGGGTCGGATCTTGGCAAAACGCGCGGATCCTCTGGGTTACTTAACACAAAAATAACGTCATTTTGGGAGGGTATATAAGGCTGATTCCTTCATTTTTTCAGTAGATCGAGTCTCCTCCCTCTCTCTCTAGAACACCCGAAGAACTCCGGTTGAATATTCATCGGATTTTGAAAATTTTCATCGGAATCTGGATTTTTTGTCGGAAGTTCACCAAAAAACTGATCGGTTTCTGGAAATGTTGTCGAAAACTAGAAAGTTGGTCGGAAGCTTCAAACTTGGCCAGAATTTCATCAAAAAATTCAACGTTCGTCGAAAAACTCACCGAAATCTGAAAATTTTTTAGAAATTTCCAGAAAAAAAAATTTCACAGAAAAAAAAATTTCACAGAAAAAAAATTTTTTTTTTTGTTTCAGAGCTCACCTGAAAAATTTTTTTTCCGTTTTCTTCCCTCCTCTCCTTTTTTTGAGTTTATGTGTTGATTTTATAGAGTTTCAATTAAGTGGGATTTTGCTGACTGTAGGGTGATTAGTTAGTAGCTGTAGGGTGGCTGGCAGGAAGCTGGTCGGGGGGGCTGGTTGGGTTGCTGATAAGGAGTTGGTCGAGGCAGCTCGGCATCGCACCAACTCCTTGACTTCTTTCTTTTTTTTTGTTTGTTTACTTGCTTTGTTTTTTTCTGTTTTATTTTTTTCTTTTTTTGTTTTGTTTTGTTAAATATTATTATTATTATAAAAAAATAAAATAGTAGACTCGGACAAAATCGGTGTATACCTATAGTATATGAATTTTATATAATTTGCTATATATAATTGCCAAAAATAATAAAATAGGAAGATATTTAATTCTTTATAATTACATATACTTGGATCAGATGCAAAGCTGGTAATGCACTAATTACTTATGAGAAAGGATGCAAAGGGACAAAGGGAGGCAATTTTGAAACGGCGGTGCGCAAATAAGGTTGCATGTTGACTACTTTTCCATCTACAAAGAAGAATATGCCATTGTGCTGTAAAAGACAAGTACACATGAATGTAAGCTTGCTTTTGTGGAACAGCATTATGTATAGTTTGGATTATTCTCTATAATTAACTAATAAATTCTAATTGACATGGGTAATTAAAGGGAAAACATTTTGAATTATTCTTAGTTTTGGAATGAAATTAAAGAATTATGAATAGAATTTAAACCTCCAATTAAATAAATTATTACAAATTACTTAAACAAGAAAAGACTATCATTAAAAGACAAAAAATGGTGTTGTATTTTCTTTTTGGTACGTTTGATATTTATTACAAAATGTAAAGTGTTCTTTTTTTATCTCATAAATTTTATCTGTTTATCTCAGAATTCAAACGCAAAGCTTTTTAAAATAAACTTTAAACTCTAATAACTCTTTTGATTGAACGAAATTAAGAGAGATATTCATATTTCATTTGATGATCATAGGCGAAACAAAAATTAAGCAATGATAATTTTAAAGATCTTTTGAAAAAATATGAAGATATCTCTTACATCATCCATAATATGTATGTGGAAATATTGATGTAATTTTATAAAGTCATTCCATCTAAATGCCAAATGAAAAACATAAATCAGATGCCGGACCAGGAAAAACCTAGAATGTAGAAAATCATAAGATAAATGGCTGAACTTGGGTTTCTTATCAGGACAAGAATATGGTGTTCTATGATCTGTAATTGGGCTAGGTTTAAACAACACAAACCCATCTGCCCTTCTAGTAGGGTAGGCTTCTGGTTTATGTATCGCTAATTTAAAGCTGTGCTCATAAGACGACTGAGCCCATGAAGATGGGTGAGTTACTTAGCCCATATTCGACCTATAATCAAAGCCAAAATTTTTCAAGGGCCCTAAATTTCCCCAAGTTATGTTATAGTCTTCTCACTTTTGTAAATGATTTTTTTTTTTTTTGCCAAGAAATGATTTTTAGAAAAAATAAATCTTGATAGAGGTTTAGTTATTGACTCAAGAAATACAAATGGTATCTCAAATCTAATTGATTATAAAATCCTCAATTCAAATCTATATACCCTATTATATTCACATTTTCAAATCCTTAATTATCTACACATTCAATAATAATATTTAAAATTATTATCAACAATCAAACAATCGAGTATGCTATTAATAAAATATTAAATTTTTAATTTAAAGATTTACATATGAATTTGATCTCTAATAATTTTAAATATAAAAAGATATTTTTGAAATTACTTGTGCACGCATACAAACTAATATACGAAATGAATACATGTGCTCATACATCATATGTAAGTTCTCATTAATTTTAAGAAAAAGTAGAATAAAGTTCAAGATAAAATTAAAAACCCATTATACATAATTGACTAAAAGATTAAGGTCAAAATAATACAAGTGAGAACGATGGAAAAAAAAAATAGTCATGCAACTTTTCATGAAAATGAGGTTAGCCGCATTAATAAAAGTCGAGCCATCAAAAACACAGAAAATTTGAAGTTAGCCATCTTTAGCACAAAATGCAGCTGGAAAGCTTGAGAATTCAGGGATTCTCTTTAATTCCATTCATTGTCGGCACAAGGTATTTACTTTTTGCGACGCAATTTGCATGCGTGATGAGTAATCAAGATAGGGTTTTGTATCTTTTCTCTTTTGTTTAAAGCTAGTAAAAATTCTAATTTCAACATGAAGATATTATGAAAAATCACAAATTTTGACTAAAATATGAAAATTAAATCTAGAAAATCTTTAGTAATCATCAAATAAGAGCAAATTTTGATTTTGACACCTATAATTTTGAAAAGTATTATCCTTAATAGATGATAATGTGTTGTTAAAGGGTTATAACTATTTTAACAAACAATAATATCTTCATTAATTCTCATGAACAACATGGGAGAAAAGTAGCTTCGTAAAATGGAATCTTGGAATGAGTTATGCTATGCCTAATGCCATGGAATATATGTCTTTATCTTCCGTATTTAACATGTCTTTCTCGTTCTCTAAATTCAATAATTCATTTCTCAATTGTTGTTCGCTTGAATGCTCACGCTTAAATCAATTTGTTCATTTCACCAAATATTGAAAGTGATTGAAAAGCCTATACCAATAATTTTTTCTTCTTCTTTTTCTTTTCATTCAACAAGAGAAAAAAAAATAGAGTGAGGGAGAGAAAGGAACGAATATCCAAGGGTAAAATGTCCATTACCCATATGTACTATCCTCTTTCTTCAAAAGCTATCTTTTTAGGGTTTAGCAAGTTCAAAAGTGTTATCAGTCCCCCTTCGGCCCTCCCCTAATAAAAAAGAATATATGTAATCTGATAGAAAAGAAAATAGTTAATATCAAAGCAAAAAAAACAGAAAAGAAGTGATTTGATGTACAATATGAAATGGTATTTGACTATTTCTTGTTTGCTATTGCTGACCAAGTCAAAAATATAAAGGTAACTTTTTTAGTAGAGTATCATGCCACCCACCTTTGGAAGCAAAAGGCAAAAAGAAATTCCTAATTTAATATAGATCATACCATTAATTTTAGCTATATCAAAAGAAAAAGAAATTACAATCATTTTAAACGAATGATTGATTTACAATTGAATTACGTAAAGGAACACTATACAAGTTCGAATCTTATTATAATTAAAAATTGAAAAAAAAAAAAAAAGCATACTATTTAATAAGTGGGCTGTCCTTCTGCACTTGGAGAAAACTTCTCTTTTTTTTTTTATTTTCAAAATTATTCTTGTGTCGGCAAGCTATAAATTCTTTTTAAAAGGAAAGATACCACCAACACATATAAGAAAAAAGGTAATTCCATTTTTATTTCATTGTTTTACCTGTTTTTATTGGTATATTGCAAATCTCAATTGCATCTATGAAGTGGAATGAAAACAATGTTATTTCAAAAAATAAAATCAAGGTGAAAAAAAGTCTTATTACCATACATCTCTTTCAAGTTGACTTCATAATTTTGTAAGTCCCCTTTCAGTTTTGAGCAAGCCAATTTCCCTTTTAAGTTCCGATTGTATACTATTTGAATTTGACTTCATGCCTTTTTTTTTTTTTTCTTGTATCGTGTTCACAGAATTAAAACGATTGGGAAAAGGCGAAGAAAAATGCATCACTTCCATCCACATAATAATATTCCAATTTTTTTTTCTTTTAATTGGATCCTTTGTAAAAAGGGTCATGGATTTTTTTTTTCTTCTTTTTTGCAGCCGTATTGACCAAATGTACAGGCAAGTAAAAGGATGTAAGAAAGAAATCCAAGTGATAAGAACAACAATAACAACAAACGGTCAATACATATCTTGAACACATTGGATGACTCTGTTGGGTATTTTCCAGGGCTTTTGATGAGGGAATATCTTCGAATTGATCCCAAAAAGTTTTGTCTGACTGCTCATTATACTTTTCTTTTCAATCAAAACAACCTAGTACTTATCATTTCACTTTGTTCCAACCCATGATCGTTTGACACATGGATGACTTGATAGCTGTTGATTTCCTTTTTTTTTTTTTTTTTTGGTTTAAGGATGGATAAGAATGAAAAAACCTCTTCCCCTGTCTCTCAATCTAAATTTCTATGTCCTCTCATGCCTTTTCTTCTTTGGAGTTTGGATGGTTTGCTTGTAATAATGTTCAGAAATTGTGTGCGGCTCCCCTTTTTTCTCTTTTCTTTGTTAAGGTTGGAAAAGAAATTTTGAAAACTCAATTGCTTAAGGTTGCTTGTTGGATTTATTATTTTAAGAAAATACTAATAAGATTCAATAACTTTATCTTCATTCATTTGAATTACTAGAAAATTTATTACACGAAACATTATATCCACATAATTAAATGTATAAATAAATTAAGTTATACGTAAGATATTAAAATTTAATTTAATAATTATTTGATTAAGTTTATATTCAACAAATCGAGTTGAATTTAAATTTTAAATTCGTATATGAAACGTGAAATAAATCAAAAAAAATCATAAGATTTTTGGACATAGATAAATTAGAAAGGATTAGAAACTAAATCATTTCCAATTATGAAAAATCACAATCTATATTATTTTTTCAAAAAATAAATTGTACAAAGATTTTGAATTGTGTACATTGCATCAACCATCTAGCTAGGTGCCAAAAAAAAACAAAGCAAAATTTCAAATTTTGCCTATTTTCATCTTGCTACATCCAACAACTAACTCAAATTTTTTATTTGAAATTCTCATAACGTAAATCTTACCACTAAAACTAAAAATCTAACACTTTATCGACATATCATTGTTCGTGCCCTTTTTAAAAAAAAAAAAATTTTCTTTGGGTATCTATAACACCAAAAGATTAGCCCAAAGAATTCCAAATATTTACAATTTTTTAATTTTTTATTGCCTAAACCCAAACCCTCCTGGCTGAGTTGGGTATCGGAGCCCATACGGGTCAATCGAATTAGAGAAGTTCTGAGTTGACACACTTGAGTTTTGTTGCAAATATCCTGAGTTATCAACTCGCTGAGTTCTGAGTCCACTTTGCACCTCCTCTTCCACCGACTTACCAACCTTATTTGTTGACGTGTCCATCTGGCATAGTGTAGGCGGCATTGTAGGGACATACACCTCATTAATTCCATAACTTTGAACCCCCTGACTCTGAGTTTGAGTTTGCCCAGTCGATACCAACTCGGGCACCGAGTTAAGTCCAGCAATACTCGTCCAATCTAAATTTCCATTACCCAGACTGTGAAACCCCATTTTCTCATCATTTTGAGGCGTTTTCAATGAGTTCATACGTGGCAAAGCAAAGAAACGATCCTCTAACTCGGGAAATGACTGAAGCATGTCATCGAGTTGGGAAGAAGAAGAGGAGGATGTGCCGTTATTGCTATGCTCTTTGCTTGAAACCCTTGACAATGATTTTTGAGCACTTGAATTCTTTTTATATATTCGACATAAAACCCATTCATCCAACTACAACAAATAAAAAAAAAATTAAACAATAATTCTTCAAAAAATTATTATTCTATAAAGCCGACAGTTTTGTCAAACAATTATATGCTTAAAATTATACTTGATGATTTTTAATATAATTATGTACGTAAAATATATTAATATATAAAAATTATGTTTAATATGTTAATACAAAATTTATTATAATAATTTTTATATTTTACAGGAGTAAACATAATATATATATAAATTATCAAATCCACTTAATTAAATTTTTTAATTTTAATGTTAAATAATTCATACAAACTTTAAGATTTTATCCAAATAAGCATTGAAAAACTAATTATTGAATTATATACAAGCTAAAGTTAGCTTAAAGATAAGCAAAAATGTTACCTTGGAGCTACCATTCTTACGGGTACTTTCAAGGAGTCGATATTCATGCATAATCCAATTAGTTTTAGTCCCTTTGGGTGCTTTTCCAACGTAAAAAACCAGAGCTTTCTTGATACCAACTTTCCGACCTTCAGTTGTGATAACTTTGTCAGTTCCGGTGGCTTTCCAATACCCTGAACCAGCAACTCTGTTGGGTCGTGATCCATTAGGATACTTTCTGTCTCTTGGACTGAAAAAATACCATTCTTTTTCACCAAATATAGCTTTACCTACGAACATAATGAACATTTTGATTAGCAAAACAAGAAGCAATGAAGAAAAAGTTGACCCTTTTGTTGGATTTGATCAACTTACTTGGTAAAACCCATGGATCAAATTTGTATAAATCAACTTCACCAATGATTTGCAGTGAAAAATGATGCCCTGCAACTTTCCTGCATAAATATTGCACTAATAGCTCTTCATCAGTTGGATAAAATCGAAATCCTGGTGGCAACCTCAGTTGAGCCAATGGGTCTGTCTCTTGCACTCCCATCATCAAAATTTTCTTGACAGCCAAACAAAAAAAAATTTGAATTTCAATAAGTAAAATTGAAAAAATATATTTTTTTAAGAGTATGGAGATATGGAATGTATTTAAATAGAAGAGAGAATGGGACTCATTTATGTTCATCACCGTTAAGAGATTGCCACGTCTCTAACATCTTACGGCCGACCTTATCCCACCACCGAGGGTGCATGAACCGTCAAGAAGACTTACACAAGTGAGTCATCAACTTTTAGGACACGTGTCTATTTTTCATGCTTTCTTTCTAGAACCCCCAACGCCCCATAAGGTGGTACCAAAAATTACATGAACCCCACAAAAAACAAGTACGTAAAAAAATTAGGTTCGTGGCCTTTTCTTTTTCTTTTTGTTTTTTTAGAAGGAAGAAGGCCACGTCGGCAATTGCTGGAACACATGTGCACACATGTGCTAGGTTAGAATTTTGTGAAAAATATAAAAACAAGAGCATGATAGAGGAAAAAGAACAATAAAAAAGGTGGCTGATTCTATTTATGACACGTTTACTTGACTTTTGATTTTGTTGGGGTTGTCTTGTTTTTATGTTTGGATTAGGGGTTTCTTTCACTCAAGAACTTCTATGGACTCGCTTTCAAGTTTTACTGCATTACAAGGGTTTGGACCATTTTGAATGTTGCAGCACATTGAAAAATTTTGATTGCTTGTTATGTTGTAGGTCAAAGTTTTTTTTAGTGGTTTTCACAAGGAATTCTTCTTTATTAGCTTTTTCATTAATAAATTTAGATATTAGTAATATTAATTGAGTTATTTTAAATAAAAAATTTCGTGTCGAATTAAAAATATTTAAGAATCAGGTAATTTTTAATTCAAATAAATTTATATTCAAAGGATTAAAGTTTAACATTGGATTATTAAAATTTAAGTTTGACTTTTAAAATTAAAAATGCTTTAAATTCATATCGTTTTAAATTAATTATTTGTACTGCTTGAGTCTAAAGTAATTTAAATAAGAATCATTTTGAGTTACATAAGTTTTAAGTTATTAAATTCACATGAATTGTGTGAAAATTTCAAGTTCCTATCAGTATCATTGACTTTAGATTAATAAATTTTATTAGTAATTTCAAACGTGACGCAATTATGATATCATAATTATATAAGCTCAATCAACTTAAAATTTACACAATTAAATAAAGTAAGAAATTAGCATGATTGTTGATAAAGACACCACTTGTGAACTCGAACTTCCATGCAAAATTGATTTCTCTTTCTCATCTATTTCCCTTCTTTTTTTTTTTTTGGTCTGAATCAAGTTTTTGTATACGTGGAGGCTTCTGGCTTTGGAGAAGAAAAGGAGAAGGAGATATGGGTAAAGCCATGGCATAGAGTTCGAAGTGTTTGGTGGGTCAAAGGGGCACGTAAGGGAGGTTAAGGTCACATAAACAAAGTGACATGTGGTGTTAATGCAAGCAACGGGTACAATTAATCTAAATCTAAAGTATATGTTGTCAAATAATAATAACCAAAAAGGTTACTTAGGATATACTTTTTGGTCAAAATATCTCAAAAGTATAAAGCAAGTTGACTATGCTATTATTTTATATATTATCGGTATAATTTTTATATTTTATGATTAGATTTAATAATAATTATACGATTTATTAAAGTATATTTAATAAAAATATTACAATATTTTTAATCTCATGTAAGTTTTAAAATTTCATCATTTATATTAACATTTAGTCATAATTGATAATAATTTCGTTTAACTCAATTTTGGATAAAAATGACAATTAATGTACAATATTATGATTTATTAAAAATATAATCAAAATCATATTAATCCAAAATATACTTTAATTGATTTGAATTGATTTGATTTGTCAATTTTTAAAAATTAAAATTTTTAAAATTTATGATTTTAAAATAAAATATATATTTATTTTATAAAAATTACTAATAAATAAATATATTTTAATTTAATTCGAATAATTTTAAATTTTCAACTTATGAATTAAATAAAAACATTTATTATCCGAATCAAATCTGAATCAAACACATTATAAAAACAATCTAAATTAAACTAAACACTACATTTCAATTCAATTTCTCCATTTTTTTATTTTTTTTTTCAACCTAATTTTAGGGTTCCTTCCAAAACTTAATAGTATTTTAGAAGTCAATGTGCATATTTTGGTAAAAGATTGCAGCAGCTGCAGCTGTCATACATGGATTCTTGGGCACCTAACCTTTTTTTATTTTCCCTCCTCCATTGGTTTCTTCTTCTCTGCACACGTAGAGTGAAAGATGTGTGCTGCTTTTGAATTCAAGTCCTTTGTATGATTCTTGATAAAAAGGAAGTTTCCTTTTTGGGGTTTGGCAGGGATTCTGTTTTTTTTTTAGGTGTTATTTGAAAAGGGTTTCTTTTCTTTTCTCTTTGCCAAACAGAGAATAACAAATGGTATTTTGATTAAGTGATAGGTAGATCATCCTCATCAATTAGAGGAATAATGAGATTTTTTTTTTCTATGATTTTGACATGTTGGAAGAAATTTTAACTATAACATACTAAAGATATTTAATTTAAAAAATATATTATAAAAAAATTAAAATACATGCTTGGACGAATGATAGAAAATAACGGCTTCATGTAATCTTTTTAATGGTAATATAGGTTAGTCCAGTCATGGCCATCATAGTTAATATTCTATAGAGTTTAGAAAATTTGAAGTGGGTTTTCAGTCTTTTATTTCTTAATTGGAAAAAAAAAAACAAAGAAGAAAAGTATGAAAAAGAAGAAATTGAATGAAGAAAATGAAGTAATTTAAGAATTTGAGGTTAGAAATTGATTGTCTCCACATAGTTGATATGTAACTTTGACAATAATAAGTTGAATGGAGAAAATTATTTAGAGATAATCAATGACTAAGAAAATATAAGTTATTTTTAGCAATGCAATTTTGACCAAAAAAAAAAAACAGAAATATTCAAAGACTAAAAAGATTAGATCACATGTCAGATTTGAACTTAATTGATGGCTCATTTTACCATGATTATTATCCTTGATTTATAAACAAAAAAATTTAAAATAATCAAAATTATTTCATACATTGTAGTAAAATTTTAAATTTTACAAATAAAATTAAAAAATTTGTGGATGATGTATTAGATAATTTTTGAACAGTTAAAATATTTAAAAGTGTAAGCTTTAAAATAGTTTTTTTTTTTTTTAATTAAAATATTCTTGTTGCAAAGTGAATACAAAAGCAGAGTACATATGAAATTAAAACAAATACAAACAGTAAGTCTAGTGGATTGAATTGTTGAATCAATTGTCGATTTGTATAAAGAAAAGTAAAATTCAACACATTTTATACATGTGAAAAATGCATCAAACAGGGTTTTCCATTTTTGGTCTCAATTTTCAAGGTTTAAGTCTGCTAGTGACAACCTGTCCACTGAATTTTGTCGAGAGCAGAGCAGCCCATATGTGATTTAAATAAACTAAAAAAAAAAAAAAAGAAAAGCAAAGCAGCCAAGGATAGGCAATAAAACATCAAACTGATTCAACTTTATTTGTAAATTTGGTTAAAAAACCAAGACAAAGGAGAAAGGTACAGCAGCCTAGACGCTCAAAAATCACAAAATTTGGATTCCACGTCTTCAATGTGTTCCCTTTGGATAGTTTTCTTCCAGGATCCTTTCACACTAACTGATAAATTGCTGATACCAGACCATGATATCATTAATCAAAGAAATTTTGCTTTCAGTCACACTCTTTAGACAATCTTCTTTCATAATTTATAAGCCAAGCTTTTGACAAAAAAAAAAAAAAAACCCAGAATTTTCCATGATATTCAGACCAAAATTCAACTTAGTAATCATAATTCCAAACTAGGACTTTTTTTTTCTTGGTCAAAAAAAGTTAAAGAATAAGGAAGATTATTCCATTTCTAAAATCAAGACAAACTATTAGGAATTTATAAATCTTTTAAGACTTACAGATCATTTATCAATAAAAAATTATAAAAATTCGAATCGAACTAAAATATTTTACATTTAAAATTTAAATTTTAATCGTTTGTGTCAATCTTATCCGTAATTTTTTTAATCTAAAATATGAATGCTAGGTAGCTTAAATCCCACCCAAATCTAAAAAAAAAAAGACAAAGGTTTCATTTTAAGAATCCAGTCATAAAATACAGATTTCAACGCGATGAGAGGACTTTCGCCACACTTCAAAATGGAGAAAAAAAGATTGACAGCTTAGGACATTACATCATGGCTCTAGTTGTTGGTTTTTCAATGGTGATGATGTATTTTAGGTGTGTTTTCATACCTTCTTTGCTGTCCAAATTCTGGAATGTGAATGTGAGGTTAGGCAAAGGCCCAATAAGCAAATGATACTAACAAATTGCTTAAAAAAATCGGTGCCTAATCTAAAAATCAATATTTTACTAGTCAATGTTCTTCATTGAGTCATTTCTGATGGGTCAAAATTGGATGTGAATCAAGGAGTGTCATCAATAAGCAACTAGGCAGAATTGGCTAGAATTTTTGGGAATTCTTTTTTTGATAAGAATGAAATTTGGATGTTTTGATTTGGAAAATTGTGGATAACCACTTTATTAAGTGGAAATTAGACTTGGAAACAAGTAGTTTTTACATTTTAAATCATAAAAAACAAAATGGAATTTTGAAAGAAGATTAGCTCAACTTATACTTGCCGCCACAATCTTGGTTTCTGAACAAGGTCAAGGAAGAATGTCTTCAATCCTCTGTTTTATTGATTAGAAAATTCCTCACTAATTTTTTTTTTCTTTTAGAAAATTAGTTCATTCGGCTTTTTTATTAAAAGAGTAACAATTTGCCCTCTTAATTATAGCAAATTCCGTTGTGCTAAAACAGAGTGGACAAATTGACAATAGGCATGGAGGAAGTGTAGGCATTAATGAAGCTAAAGCTTTTACATGCCAATCGACGACCAACTTACAGCCTGGAACTCTAATGTGACTTGGACCCAAAAAATACAAAAAATCTGAGACAACCATTAAAACCCAAATTCCATACAAAAACCTATCACATGCTCCTCTGAAATATCATGCACTTGTGGCTAAAACATATGGCACAAAGGGAAAATTAAAGAGGGAATGACTCAAGCCTGGCTGGGGTGCATCTGATAGCGTCTGATACTGCCACAATTATGACAGAGTAACATGGTCTTTTGGCCTTTTCCATGTTTAGTTAAAGCAATGGCCAAATTTGTTCACCAGGAGGCCAACAATTTGGGGAATTGTGAGATAAGTGATTCGAGTTTTGTGGTTGTCATGGGGAACAGCTAATTTAGTTAGAGTTGGAATGATCTCTACCATATAAAAATAACAAGGAAATAGTTATTTTTATATTAATTTGTAAATATATTTTAAAATTAAATAAAACTAATTTTTTATTAATAAAATAATAACCTAAATCGAGCCTTGCAGTATGATTTCAAGCTTGAAAATTCCTATTCCAGACAGTACTGAAATCAAGCTAGACCAGGTCTAATTTCAAATAATTTAAGATGAAAATAACCACTACCATGAGATCAGTGAAATGGCCAGAAATTTTCTCTTGCTCTACTTCTCATTTATATGGTATACAAGCTACAAACATGAACGCAAAAAATGAAAGACAATTATATATGTAAGTTAAAGTCATACAAGTTTCTGTTTTGGTTTAATGCACAATGGAAAAGGTTGAGCTAGTGATCTAATTTTCTGGTTACCCCAATTCTCATGAGTGCCATATAAGCAATCAGCCGGTATATTACAAGCATTAAGGCAAGGGCAACAGCAGAGAGGAGCTGCCCATCAAGGCCAACAGTTTTTATAGATGGAAAATCTCCAACCAAGCAAACTTTTCCAGGATCACCACAAGGGTAAGTTTCATTTGGCTTGTATTGAGATCCCAAGAGGAGTTTGTATGTGTAATGGCTAATGGAAATGTATTTGATCCATGATATGAAAGGAGGAACATGTTGAATATAGAACCCGCCGGCGAGTAAGAAAGTGGACATAATCACTGAACCAAGAATGGTGGCTGTTTTTTGGTCCATTACCAAGGCACCAATGGCTAGTCCTATGCCTTGAGAGACAAGGACACAAAAAAGAAGTGCAAATAAAGTTAGCAGGAAATTTCCAGCTGTGGGTTTAAGTCCTGCCATCCAATATGTTATTGTTATAAAAACAGTGGGAAGAATAAGCTCCATGGGAAGATCAGAAACCATTCTTGACATGAAGTATGAGGAAAGCCTGTACATCCCTGAAGACCGTTCCTTTTCGAGCATCATACGTTCCTGGGGGAAGGTGAAAATTGCTTGGAATAGAGGGAAAAAGGCACCAAAATCCTGAGGTAAAGAAGAGGAGTCCAACCTGCATGTTTCCAAATTAGCAGGGCTTCAACCTGTTTGTGTATATAGTCATCCAAAGCTATTATGTTGATCAATGAAAAGCTAATTATTATCAATTCATTTATATAAACAAATCTCTTGTTTCTCAATTTCAATTATATAGTTTGCGTAATCATTTAATGAAATGAAAGTGATTGGGAGACTTTGAAATACCTGGTCCTGCAAGTGAGCAATATCAGATTGCCACCATAATAATCCTACAAGGACAGCAACAACCAGGACCTCGGCAATGTTGAAGCCAGAGAATGATTCATACTTCCTTTCCTTTACTCCTCTTTGAAGCAATACCGTGAACTGTTGCCACCAAGTTGTAGCCCACCTTGCAAATTTCTTGTTTTCTAATACATCCGGAGGGTGATTGCTGATTTCCTGAAGCTCATCCTTTAATTTCTCGGCAATGTTGGTCTTGTAGGCAGAAATTAGAGTTTTCTTCACCAGGGTTTGCTCCTTTAGTGACTCATATGATGAAATACCTACATTTGTGCAAATATTTTTTTTAAAAAAAATAATGATAATAAATTTGGAAAAGCAACATAACATGATTCAATTTGCTGTAGAAGATGTATTTTTTTTTCAAATATTCTATATATTTAACCCAAAATTATTTGCGATTTTTTCCCTATGCATCAGAGTCAATAATGATAGGCAGAGGCTGGAAATCATGCACGAAACTTGAAGCAGGCAAATAATTTGAATTGAATGGTCAACTTATTAATATTAAATGAGCACAATTAAGATTAACAAGTACCATTTGCAAGATCCAACAGGAAATCTGAAGGGTTCATGGCAACTGATGGGGCGTATCCGATGCTGGAAAAATAATCCATAGCAGCCGATCCTTGTCCAAAATACAAAGGGTTACCTTCTGATAGCAGCAAAATCTTATGAAACATGTAAAATAGCCTGCTCGATGGCTGATGTATTGTCAGCACAACTGTTCTTCCACCTTTAGCAAGCTCCAACAATGTTGACACAATCCTTTGAGCTGTAGTTGAATCCAGACCCGATGTAGGCTCATCCAAGAACAACAAGCTTGGGTTTATAAGCATTTCTTGACCTATACTAACCCTTTTTCGTTCACCTCCGGAAACTCCTCTCAAAAATGGATCTCCGATGATGCTATTTTTGCACTTGGTTAGTCCAAGTTGAGTGATCACAGCTTCAGCATGAGTGATCTTTTCTTCTTTACTAAAACTATTCGGTAATCGAAGAAGGGCAGTGAATACAAGTGTTTCAGTCACTGTCAAGTGAGGGTAAAGAACATCATCTTGAGTAACAAATCCTGTATTTCGTTTCATTGAATTGGAAAAAGGCTTGCCATTGTAAGTTATGGCTCCATTGAGTCGCCCACCTAGACGGCCTCCTAATGCAGTTAGTAGAGTTGTTTTGCCACTTCCTGATGGACCAAGCATTGCTAACATTTCCCCAGGTTGAACCATTCCAGTGATCCCATTTAAAATCACTTTCTCTTCTAAACTCGATTTCTTTGCAAAGAAATTGCCTACTTTCCCAAACTTGATCGTATAGACAACATCAACAAACTGTAAACCAATCAAAAGCTCATTAAAATGCCTATTATTTCCTTGTTAACATAGAGATTTAATGCATTTTCATCTGTTTTTCCACCTTATTTTAGTAATTAAATAATCCATAATCAGAATCCAACAGCAAAATAAAAACAATGCAGATATATATAAAGCTCAATTTTCCAATATTTTGTCCAATGAAACACCTGTAAAATAATATGCATACCTTCAAAATAACAGGGTGATTTGTACTCTTAAAGATGGCAGTCGCTCTGGACTGATCTACAGCCTTAGATTGAGCTTCAATGTCCAACTCTTCCGCCATTGTTACCAATCCAATGAAGACAACCAAAACCTATCACTCTATAAAGGAGAAAAAGATAAAAAAAGAAAAACGCTTTATATTCTTTTCTGTCTTTTTGGATCCCCGTTCATGCATTAATAAAATTATCCAAATACAGAGGAGATTCAATTATTTGCAAGTTCATGAATAAAGAACAAAAGATATACTGAAAAGAAAGAGAATATGATTCAATACAAATAACGTGAAGATGGTTTAGCGTTTGATGTGATCACGGCTGATTCGGTTTTGGGGTTTCCTTCAGAATTTAGTGTTTCCTGAGTTTCCTCTGTTTTTCCTTAACTTCACAGCTAGTTTTTCTACTTTCTGTTATGCTTTCTGCTAACATTTATAAGCGTCTGAAAAGGGTAAAACTGAAACAAAGGTTTCTTATGTCAGCTTTCCAAAATTGAAGTCAACTAATTTATAATCCCCATTTCATATTAATTGTACAATTCATCAATGTAAAAACAAATGATCTGAAGGATAAGAGATGTAATCCTTGGCAAATGTTAGGGTTTTGGTCATGAAATGCAATCCTTGATCTTTATACCATATGTGAGGATTTGGACTTTGTTGAGATGGCGTTTGACGATCTTGAAAAGAGAGATACATTGACTTGGAACTCAGTTATTTCGATGTATTATAAACAAAGATTGATAGAAGAAGTTGTTAAGAGAATTGGGTCATTGCTGAATAATGGAGTATTGCCAAATGAGTTCACATTTGTCACTCTGTGCTACAATTGTCTTTTTATGGATTAAATAATTTTTTATTTTTTGAAATAATTATTCCTTCTATTTTTTAAATTATCGTGATAAATTACAAAAAAATAATTTTTTTTTTAATTTTTTTTTGGCATCAACCTTATATAATTTGTTTTTAATGTCCTATTTTTTTTTATCATTAACTACAATATTAACATTTGTCAATCACTCTTTGCATATATATGAAAAGTTTTACCATCGTTTAATTTATTTATCTTTTATCATTTTTATTTTTAATCATTTAGAATTTTTTCTAATTGTTTATGATAAATATTTTCATAATATATTAGAGGTGTATTATGGTTAGAAAATAAATTAATAATTTGGAAAGAAATATAAGTCGTTAGAGTTTTTTTTTAAAAAAAAAACCAATAAATTTGAGTAGAATAATATTAAAAGATTTTTAAAAAATCCTAAAACCAAAAGTTAATTGATAGAATATTTTATTTAAAATAAATAGCAACTTTTTTATATTGTAAATTTGAGTAGTGTAGAATTGGTGAATCGAAAGATTTAGAGTTGTGTAGTCTCAAATTTAAATAGATCTAATATTTATAAAATAATGTAAGTAAATAATTTGATTTAGAGTTTGTAAAATTTTTGAATAAATAGATCTTGATTTGTGTAATTTCAAATCTAGATAGATCCAAAATTCAAGTAATGTAGGCAAATGATTTGATTTAGAATTTATAAAATTTTTTAATAAATAAATTTAAAATTATATAATCTCAAGTTTTAAATTATCTTGATCTTAAGTATCAACATTACGTTATATTCTATTATTTTTTGAATTTGATATTAAAAATAAATATTTTTATGAATTTACATAAATCTCTATGTTACAGATCCACATTCTAGTTTTAATTAAATTAAATGAAATTCATGTGGAATAACCAACGGATGTCGGCTTAATTGGCATAGTAAGTGTGGTCTTCTCTTTCTTTTTGTGTATATAAGTTTGCTTTTTTTCCTTATTATTTGGTTTCCACTATTTTGGGAGGCTTTAGAAATGTAATTTTTTTTATAAAGTTATTAAATTTAATGTAAATAAATCTGTTTGAATTATTATAAATTTATTAGATTCAACGTAAATAAATTGGATAACATGTATTAGACAAAACTAAAAACCCATCGCCACTAAATTTAAAAAAAAAAATTTCATGACGATAATGCATATTTCTTGCTAATACAAAAATTTTAAGAATCTATAATATTTATAAAATTTCTGATTAGGTTTGATATGACGACTTAGAAGTCAAGTGACAGATGCAATCGTCAAGAAATCAAAAATAAAAAAATACAAACAAAAAAGAAACATATTACTAAAGTAATTTCCTTTAGGCCAACTTGGAAATATTACTAAAAAAGAAAATTACATAACTTCATTTTCATCTATCTACTTTTTCCTTTTTTTTTTTTTTTTTCTAAATCTTCACCCAATTTTTTTTCACCCCATAATGGGTGTGCCATAATCCAAAACAAATAATAAGAAAAAGATAAAGGATTTTTTTTAATGATTTTTTTTTATTTCACTCTATATTCTAGAGGGAATCAATATATTATCATTGATGCAAGTATATACAAATGGAATTATGTAAGTTTTCATTGAAATTTTTTTTTTAGAAATAGAATAACTTTTTTCTGGCAATATAGATATCTTATTTTAAGTAGTTATATTTTATTAATTCAAGATTGATTTTTATATTAGATGATATTTTTTAACAAGTTTTATCAATCTACATTTTTTCTTACACTTAATTATAACAAAAATCACAATTATAATTTATCATCTATTTCCTTTAAAAGTTAATTTTGATTATTTCTCATTCCTCCCTCAAACTTCCTTTCAATCCCCTATCTATCCCACATATCTATATATGTTGTAGCTGCCACTCCCTCCACTTGGCCCTATAAGCTAAGCAGGTACAATTTTATATATTTTTTGCTATAATTAATTCTATTAATTAATGTACAATTTCAACTTCTAGGAATATACTTAAAAGTTCATTTTAAGTCTTGTTTATTTTGAATTATTTGGCTTTTTATCTGGCAATTTGGTCGAGACTCAATTGAAGGTAAATATATATATATATATATATATGTGTTAAATATTTTTTTTTCTTTTCTTTAATAATATATATCACAAAAAATGGGTATTCTTTTCATCTATATATGAAATACTTTTCTAAAAAATATTTTAGAATTCATTATTATAAAGCAACATTTTGTGTCTATCGAATAATATTGATACATTAATGAATTCAAAATTTAATTCGGTTAATTCATATAATAAAACATTATATTTAATAGATTTAATATTCAAATCCTAATACTTGCAATTTTTTTGCTATTTTCATATTGTAGTCTCTTTTAATTTGTATAAAAAAATATTAATGTATTAATCATGAACAAGGTGGGTTATACATTCATCAATTTTTGGTTAGGTATATATTAATTATTTGGTTAGGTTATGTAGTCTCTGTTCAAAGCACCTTACAAAAAAATATTATTTGGTTTGTCACGATAGATTATTGATATCAAGTCATTTATAAGCTTTGAAAAAAGCTATTCTTTTACCAAATAACTAATGTCAGGGTTCATTTAACGTTCAGCTTTAGAATTATCAAGTTAATAATAAATTATAGTTACAAAATAATTGTGAATCTGCAAAAGAAACTGAAGTATCTACTTTGTTGTTGTCAAGCAATATTGTTGGTATGCAAAATTTGAAGCAATTTTGACTCGATGCAAGCTTTGATTTAGTTAATATTTTATCACACATTATGTTGCTTTCAAAAAATTTAATTTTCTTGTTATATGTCAATTCAAAATATGTAATGAAAAAGGCAATATGCTGTTCTCTTCTTTACTAAAACTATTTGGTAATTGTGAAGACAAAGATTTAAATTATTATAAATTAGTTTATATAATCACTTTTAAAACATGATATTTAATAAATTTAGAGTAAAAATTATGATATTTAATAAATTTAAAGTATAAATCTTAATATTTATAATTTTTTTTTTTCATATTCCGAAACTGTAACCTCTAATATAAAAAAATTTCCATCACTTTCAAGTAGGGTAGCATCATCTCGAGCAAGGAATTCGGTTCATTGCATTGGACAAAGCCGCCATACCTTCCAAAAGATATGGTTCTTCAAAATTTTGTTGTTTTATCTGATTAAAAAAAAAAAAAATTGTTTTGCCACTTGGATTGGCTTGGTGGTCAGAATTCGACAGGCTGTTATGAGATGGCTGGTTTTTGAAAGCCGTGATCCTTCTTGGATGCTACTCTTAAATGCACAAGGATTTAATCAGCAGAAGGATTTGGTGATCTTTCTTTGACTCGAGAATTGAAACTTCCTATCTGCTTCCTGATTTTTAAGCACCAAAAAACAAAAGTTGTTTTGTTACTGTCAGCTGGACCATGACAATTTCCTAGCAAGTCGAACCATTCCAATGACCCCGCCACCAGGACCCGGCTTTGTTGACTGCAAATGAAAACATTGATCTCTATTATTATTATTATTTTTTACAGTATTTTTTCCTTATAATTAAGTAAGAAGCGAAGAACCATGAAAAAAACATGCGTAGAGATGGATTCTTGCAACTTATCTAATAGAAAACACTACTATGAAACAATATGCAAACTTCATAATAAAATAATAATCGTTTCACTTATTATTAATTAATTTCAGATTGAATTAATATTTGTCTTTATATTCTTAAATATGACTACAATAGTTTCCAAGCGATCTTCAGCTAAATTTTGCAAATTGCAATTGCATGTATATTTCAAAAAAAAAAAAAAAAAGAAAAAGTTAAGATTATCAATGTTGGAGGTGTAGGTGATCTTGGCTACTTAATTTGATTGTTGGCTTCAAATTTTAAAGAGTAAAAATGGCTTATTTTCATGGAAGAATCTATGGAAAGGATATAATTGGTAAGCCCATTAATTTGATTACCATTATATAAAGAAAAACAAAAGAAAAAGTTTTTCCATTTGGAACATTAATTCTTAGCCCCTCTTTCACTGTCTATTTTCAATTAAAAGGGAAAAATTTAAGTTCAATTTTGTACCAAGCTAAAAAATATATTTGACAACCTCAAATATCAAATAAATAAATAATCAGTAGACACAGATATGCAAGAATTTTCATTACCAATGAACCATCCACAAACCCAATTGAATTCAGATGAATTACTTTTTAGGCCTGCTTGAAGATCTCTAAACAGGACTACTTGTTAGCCCAAAAGGCATACATTTTTGGGTTTATATCATTTATTCATTTTGCACGTGTTTTTTTAGGAGGAGCTCTCTATGCATCTTTTTCTTTTTTTTTTTCCAATAATCTTTTTCTCTTAGTTAATTATACTTAAATTGGAGGAATTATGAGTGAACAAGATCTTGGTTTAATAACAAGGAAAAGATTCTACAATTCTGAACTTCTAATTGTTAAAATTTATTAGTTGATTATTCAATTATTATAATTTAACTATGATGTAATAATGGATCATTTTGTGAAATATATCAAAACTTTGTGGGTGTATAAGTTTGATTGTTTAATTATGTTATAATTTGTTAGTTAATTATTCAAATATTATAATTTAATTATAAGATAATAGTTTATTATTTAGTAAATTATATAATGTAATACTTGATTAGAGTATAATTTTAAAAAATAGAGAAATTCGAAAAAACTTTAGACTAAGAAACTTTATTGATTTTAAAATAAAGTGTAATTTTATAATTAAATTACAAATTTT